TGAACGTTCCAAGCTCCACAGCATTGAACAGGTAAAGGACAGACGGACGGTCAATTTTTTTTTTAAATAGCATGCTATACCTACCGGACTAGAAGTTGGCTAAATCTTTCACTTTGAACAATGCAATAACAAACATTTATTGTTTGTTAGTTAATTAGTTGTCATTAAAATACAGTTTCAGCTGATATAAGATACACGCGTTAAATCTGATAAGCCGATTATAAATTGCTAGGCTTACTATTTAACACATGCGCACGAATGAACTTCGGATGTAAGCTAGTCTGTTAAAGATTCAAGGAAAATTGATTTAAACGAAGGAATCTACAACAAATTCCTTGACTATATTCATTGATCTAGCGTTATTCATGCACGCACAAATCGCAGTGTTGTAAAAACTGCTCGACATTGATATAACAAATATGAAAAGGCAACAAATTGGATTTTTTAGCGTTTAGGTTAAGGAGTTCTTAATGTAATATCTCAAATCTTCAAATACAAAAGTTACTTAATATATATTTCAAAATAATTGCAGGTTCCTGCCAATACAATCACTTAGCAAGCAAAAGCTCATAGATCAGGCATTCAAAAAAAAACAAAGAAACTCAAAGATGAAGTTCCTTGTATTCGCCGTCTCAGTTCTTGCAGTCGTCCTTGCACAAAACAGTCAGTCCAGCATCTGCACGCCACCCATATATAATGTTGAGATTTACGACTTCCAAAGTAAAGTAAGTTATGGCATACTTGTGCATTGTGATTTGCATGTAACATGTTCAGTTGAATGTATGCTGTAATTGTTAATAAAAAGTTTGTTTTTTTCTAAAAATACGAACATTTTTACATGTTAATCTTATTTTGGTCATCTCTTAGCTTTCGGGATCTCTCGCTGTCAACTTCAACATGAATGTGACCGTCACGAGGTTCCCGTCTGTAAGCCTTCGTCTTGTTTACAATCTAACTACAGTAAGTATTTCGTATAACTGATGTTTGTGTTTCGATAACTGCAGTGAGAATTTCGTTAACTGCCGTATTATTTTACTAACAGTAGTAAGTATTTTGATAACTGCAGTAACTGCCATTCACTCTATTTCCGTCTGTGCCATTCACTCTAGTTCTGCCTCTGCCTTTTACTCTAGTTTTTTATCTGACTTTCACTCTAGTTCCTTATCTGCCTTTCATTCTAATTCTATCTCTGCCTTTCACTCTAGTTCTGTGTATGCCTTTCACTCTAGTTCTGTATCTGCCTTCTACTCTATTTCTGTATCTGCCTTTCACTCTAGTTCCGTCTCTGCCTTTCACTCTAGTTTTTTATCTGCTTTTCACTCTAGTTCGTATCCGCCTTTCACTCAAGTTCCTTATCTGCCTTTCACTCTAGTTCTGTCTCTGCCTTTCACTCTAGTTCTGTCTCCGTCTTTCACTCTAGTTCTGTATTTTTTAAAACTCTAGTTCTGTCTCTGCCTTTCACACTAGTTCTGTATCTGCCTTTCACTCTAATTCTGTCTCCGTCTTTCACTCTAGTTCTGTATTTTTTTAAACTCTAGTTCTGTCTCTGACTTTCACTCTAGTTCTGTTTCTGCCTTTCACTCTACTTCTGTATTTGTTTTTCACTCTAGTTCTGTATCTGCCTTTCACACTAGTTCTGTATCTGCCTTTCACTCTAGTTCTGTCTCTGCTTTTCACTCCAAATCTGTCGCTGCCTTTTACGACTGTTCTGTCTCTGCCTCTTCCTCTAGTTCTGTAATTGCTTTTCACTCTAGTTCTGTCTCTGCCTTTCACTCTAGTTCTGTATCTGCCTTTCACTCTAGTTCTGTCTCTGCCTTTCACTCTAGTTGTGTATCTTTTTTTCACTCTAGTTTTGTATGTGCCTTTCACTCTAGTTCTGTCTGTGCCTTTCACTCTAGCTCCTTTTCTGCCTTTCACTCTAGTTCCTTATCTGCCTTTCACTCAAGTTCTGTATCTGCCTTTCACTCTAGCTCCTATTCTGCCTTTCACTCTAGTTCTGTATCTGCCTTTCACTCTAGTTCTGTCTCTGCCCTTAACTCTAGTTCTGTTTCTGCCTCTACCTTTAGTTCTGTCTCTGCCTTTCACTCCAGTTCTTTCTCTGCCTTTCCCTCTAGACGTGTCTCTGCAACCATTGTTTACGATTTTTTCCTGTTTACTTCTGTCCCTGCATTTCACTTCAGTTCTGTCTCTGCCTTTCATTCCAATTCTGTATATGCCACATTTGGGGAGACTTAGGAAATAAGCTAGGACTGTTGCTGTGATAATTACGGTCCAGTTGATTCAATGTTTGTTCTTTGGTCCTTCAACACTACGACTCAAACCTACATCTCTACGACCCAGCCCCATGACTCTTCTCCGCCGCGCTTTCCACTCTGATTGAAATATCACATTAGGAATTAGCATCAGATGGCCTTCCAGCTAAATCTCATTATGCCCTCCCCAAAGCATCCTCGCTAAGGCCAAGTATCGAGCCACAAAACGGAACGTTTGAGATGTCCCT